CTGTACATGACGTCCTCCGCCCCAGAACGTTTCCGCCGTTCTTGGTTTTGGGGTATGACAATCTATGAACTAAATATGAGCAATCGTCCCTAACAGAAGATCCCAAGGGGACCCTGATGTCAAAAGAAGGCTTTCATCCCAAGGGTACCTGATGTCAAAATGTGGCCGCCAATTAGGGTTTTTTTTTCACGTGGAGGATGTAGTTGGAGGCTTTCATGCAGAGAAACTCGAGTTGTGTTGGATGAATGACTAGGGTTGGAGGCACTGGAGGTGGGTGAAGATGAAGTCGATCCTTAGGTCTTCTTTCTTGCTAATTCAAAGATTAGCGTCGATGGTTGAGAAAGGATCGAACAGGCGGGGGTTTTGATTTTTATGGATTCCATTTCCCCCCTTTGCTATTAAAAAGCACGTTTCATTAAAATTATAAAGCGACAGGCACAGATGACGCACGTTTAAGATAAAGCACCCTTCATGTTTTTTTTTCCTTCAGACGCTAATTTAAAGGCACACAATAATGCGTGATGTAAATCCTTAATTTTTTTTTGAAGAGATGACACTATTTTAAGAACACTCTCTTTTGCGTAACATAAATCAGTGCGTATCGTAAATTGCGTGTCATTAAAGGCATATATTCTAGTAGTGCAGAAACTGTAAAATATAAAACAGGGGATGTAGAAACAGACTTTTGTTGCGTAACGTTATTCGGTTCGATGATTCGTGAAGTTTCCGGTTCCAATGAAGCGTGAGATTTGTATGATTTTTGGGATGTCATAACCCTTAAAGACATACATTAACAATAAGTTAGAATTTTATCAAGCTTTAAATCACTTAAAACAAGTGACTTTTTGATAAAAAGGACATGTAGAAATCATATAATCACCTAGTTTTTCTTGGATCCAAAGTCTGTTACCAAAAAAGTGTTGAAACACAAGGATTCTGAAGAACAAGATGAAGGTTTTCTTGGGTTTATAGACTCTCGAAATCAGAACTTTTTTGGGATGTTTAGATCTCAAAATATGGAAGCAAAACTGAAATTTTTTGTAGGTTGCATAACACTAAAAGAACATGCACTATTTTGGGTTGTTGATGTCACTATTTTTCCAGCAAATAAGTAAGAAAAATAGTGGTTTAGCCACTGTTTTGATAACCCATTTTAGTGCAGTGAATCAACAATTTCAAAGGTGTTTTGGGGTTGGAATATCGACCAAATAAAGCAAGAAATAGGCTGTCATGATGCCAGAAAACCGTGGGGCAGCAACACCTTTCTTGCTCTCGGCTTTGGTAGATCACGAAGACGAAAAGAGGAGCTGAAAATGGCTGAGTTTGAGAGTGATATTCGAGTGATTTACTGAGAGCATTTGGCTGGAATATGAAGGGGAAATGAGGAAGCATGAATCTATTATGTATAGAGGAAGGATAGCGGAGAAAATATCTAGCAAATATTATCCAATATAGGATAGAATTTACCTTGCAAGTTGCATCTTCGCTTGCAAGTTTAGTTTGTTAGAGATATGAGTTAGTTACTTGGAGATAGGAAGGTAGTTTAGTTAGTTATAGATATGAATGGTGACTAACTTAGTATTGTATTAGGAGTCTAAGACCAAAACTGTAATTGGTATATACTTGAATTGATAGTAGCACAGTCATTTTCGGTTACCCTCAAACCTAGCAATTGGACATGATATTTTTGGAGAGAGAGGTTGATTTATAATTTGATTAATAAATTGAAATAAATATTTTATTAGTATATTATGATAATAATATATTAATTAGAAATAATAATATTTAATTAAAAAAATAATCATAAATTAATTTGAATTAATTATGGGATTAATGAAGTTATGTAAAAGTGCAGGGTCTAAAGTGAAACTATTCAATAGGTGAACAAAAGTCTCCAGAACCTTCAACTAGGAGGGTGGGTAGTTTCTAAGGGAGAATCTTGGGTTTCTAGAGTATCCAATGTGGATAAATATGGAGCTGGATAATTACCAATTTGAAATATTATTATTATATTCAGATTAGGTTTAACCAGGACTTCCTTGTGCCACTATATAAAGGAACATAGCCCTTGTATTTTCGGCCACCATTCTATTCAAAATGATAGCCAAAATTCTAAACCTCTCCTTTGCTCCTCTCTCTTAATTCATTATCTTGCTAGTTGGGTGGGATTCCATTAGAGGCATGACGCTTGTGGTGCTTGATTTCAAGAGATCAAAACAACGTTATTTGCTCTTACAACAACATAACAAAAGTTTTGTAGAAGACCTTCGAACAACCTATCACGAGTAATGGTCATCAGTTTCACTATCTTCACTGGAGACCATACCTCTTCTTAATTTTCCCCAAGACTGGGTGAAAGAGAGTCTTCAATCTTTTGAATTCTTCTTTCTCATTGAAGTCATAATTTCGAATATCATACCTATTCTTCATAGTTTCGAGCAAATCTTCAATTTCACTTTCACTATCTTCACTGCAGAGTTTTCGATGTCATAAATCTTTTTAGGCACCTGTTGAAAATCATCAATTAATCCTATAGCAACAACATCTTCAGTTGTCTCATAACACCACTGCTTGTTAGGATCACCTTTGTTCAAGCCAGGTGGGTCATATGCTCTTCGCCTCAATATGTTGTTTATCTGCATTTGTTTTTAATTTCAATGGCTTGTTGCTTCGTTTTCTCTTCTTCTGTTTGAACAACAGGAATTGATTTTCCTTTATCCTTTGCATCAACATCCGAAGTTGATTTATTAGGGATTGAACTCGAACCTCCCGCTCCTTCATTTAATGAAATTCCTTTCGTCAAGGGTCTTGTTCTTGTTGTTGTAGATGTTGATGTAATAGGATTCGTTGGAATAGTTTTTGGGATTCGAGTACTCATTACCTTTCCTAGAACAACTCCAAATTTATCACCTGTATTCTCCGATGAACTAGCACATCCTTCTCCCCATTGTGACACATGCATAACATAAGGAGCATTCGTTAGGAGTCAAAGACCTAACCTCCTTATTTGAACCAATTCAACCTTAATGTTGGTATCAACATTAGAAACCATTTGAGAAATGGATTTTGGAGAAATCGTCTATTGAGCCGAAAGCATTGTTTTGATTTCGGTTAGAAACTTCTCAACTTTAGCAAAAAACTGAGTGTCGCTTTTCACCTTGTCTTGAAGACCAAATGTGTAATCTTTTTTGAAGAAGTGATGTCTTCAATCAAGCGAGTTGATGCTTCAGCAACCGCATCCATCTTCTTATGAAGAGTCGAAGAACTTTCAGCAAAATTTTTAACTTCAGACTTGAACAAAGTTTGAATTTCATGATGTTCTTTCAAAACATCACGAAGCTTAGAAATTTCACCATTAAGATTGGTAGAATGATTGATAGGCCTTTACTTACTCTGCTTTTCAACATCATATATTAGAGATTGCAGGAAAGTCTCTTGAGCTTTGAGAAGAGAATCAACTTCGACTTTAGTCACATAATTCATGCTTCCAGTGTCAACCAAGAACTGTAATATTGAATTCATTTTAGAATTCCATATTTTGAATTATTTTCCTGACATGATCATTTCATCAGGAATGTTCTCCTCCTCTGGATCAAACTGAATATCAACAAAAGATGCCGTGATATCATCATCATTAACTTCATATTTGTGTTGTGAATTCTTAGTGGATTAAGATGTAAAGAGAGTTGCAATAGGCTCTTGCATGATTCCAAAATATGTTGGTGAAATGATGGATATTGGAATAGAAGTAGCAATTGGTGATGATGGTGGTGGTAAAGCTTTTGAAGTTTCGACCATGTAAGTTTCAATTGTTGATGTTTCGATGGTAGAAGTGACAAAAGATTCATTGTTGTGTATCCCTGCATCTATGTTGACATTTGTGCCCTTATTAGATAAGTCCAAAGTGATGTATGGAGTTTCAACCTCCTCACTTTCGGACTCGATATGCGAAACCCCGAATCGTTTGATAGTTTTCTTCTCAGGGATTTTGATGTTTTCTTAATCACTCGAATTGATGTTTGTACCCGTATTAGATATATTTACACTGACATTAGGATCCCTCGTATCCTTGAGATTTGACTCGACATGAGAATTCCTGCGAGGAGATCCAAGATAAGAATCCTCAATTCGAATATCCGACCTTTCAATGTCACTATCATTTTCAGTTTCACCTCTCAGATTTGCAAGCAGAACTTAAGCTTTATGCTTCTTCTGGTAAAACTTTTGGGCCATGTCAATAGCTTGATGCTTCTTAGAAGCTGGTAAACTAGGAAACGAAACTTCTCGAATATGAAGACCTCTCCTACTAACATGTAACTTTTGAATCTTGATTGTACCTTTCGTAGAAGAACGAGGGTTTGAAGATTCAATAACCAAAGATTTAACCCTTTCAAATACTGACTCATGAGTAGTTGTCTTGATCGGAGATGCAGAAGAATTCTTAGCTGGTTTCTTCGTTCGTTTGAGAAGCCCAGTTTTATGAGAATTATTTCTTTGATAAGCTCCTCCTCCACAGGTTGTGATTTTTCAACTGGTTTAGTTTTCTTGTAAGCCTTTGAAGCTTTAGTCACGTCTTCTACCCCCTTTTGTGGAATAACCCTAATTATAACAGAAGAATCGGTAGAAGCTAATAAGTATTGAACCAAAAATTGAATTTTGGGATCAACAAGCTTGAGCATCGAATATGGAATTCTACCAACAATGAGAAAAGTGTCGATACCATCAACGGAAATCCTAGGTGCAACCATTATCGGAAACTCAACAATTTCGAGATCAGTTGGAACAAGAATATTCTCTTGACTATAAACCTCCTTTAATATCAAACTCCAAAATTGAGTACTTGAAACACCATTTGTGAGGTTTAAGTGTGAGATTGAGGTTCCAAACTCTTCCCAAAGATATGAAGCATACTCAATATCCATACCATAATATAACCCCACCATGAATTAATAAACCTCAAGCTTGGCTTTGTTGAGCCCAGAGCTTCGTCCTCTTATACATTATAGCATAATTCCAAAGAGAAAACTCCAAACACAAGAAAGTCCAGATTTCTTAAAATAAATTATTCCATTAAGAGTCGGTTGGTGCCCCATTTCATTGAACATATGAACTACCTGATCATTAGTGACTTCATAGAATGTATCGAAAACTGGTAACTGCAACATTTGGGAAAATTGATTACGAGTAAGCTTATTGGTCTTGGAATTTGATAGTTGAAACGTAACCACCTTAGTAGACTTGTTGAATACAACAGTTGTCGCATCAAGTGAAAGCCATGTCATCGGAATAGCAAACGATGAAGAAAGTGTTGTTGATAAGACAAAATAGTTCAGAATTTGAACACACATCCGTAATTCCTCCAGATATTGATCAAGTGATGGAACTAGATAGAGATTAGTGGTTTGAATCTTCATCATCGGTTGCGATACATCTTCATCGTTATTGGTTGTATGATCAACATTGTGTTGAGAAGTAGCCATTGCAAAGAATTGTTGAGAATTGGATAAAGCAAGAACAACTAGGGTTCTTGATGTTTTGTTCAAAGAGCATAAAATTTGATAAGGAAATAATTATCTTCCTTTTATAATTGGAGGTATTTTTGAATTTGAACCAGTAACCAATAAGAAAATGCCACATATTGTGTTGGTTACTTAATCGACACTGTAAAAAGCTCCACGTCATAAAAGTGATCATCATGTTCTCTTCAATTACTGTAAAGATCCTGAACCATCACGTCCACCATATCGTTCGTTGTTCCCAATTGGATAAGAACCGTCACAAGTTTGAATCTGCAAATAAGTACTCCATATATTTTAAAACCAAGAGACTGGACAAGATTCGAGTCTAATAAAGAACCATCCTTCGGCATGGAGGCAACGCTCATTTGCTTTTGGGGATTGAGAAGCGAAATCATATGCCATACTTTGTGAAATTGTAAGACTAAGTTGATACTATTCAAATCCTCCATGATTTCAGTGCAAATGTGTGCCAAAGAATAATATAGAAGCAAATAGTCACACCCCCAAACCGAAACAGCGGAAACGTCTAAGGGCAGGTGACTATCATGTATAGTATCATAACAGTTGACTATAAATGATCAAAGCAACACAACCAACATATATATAATTGAAATAGTTACATAATTTGTATGCGTTAGATGTTTCGAAAGACAATTATAATATGTTGTCAAAAGATTTGTTTAGGCGCCTTAGCGTCTCATCCCGAAAAGCTAGTAGTTACCTGCTTAACTGATTCCATGAGAATACAAGTTGTTTGAAAAGAGTGTCAACAATCAAGTTGGTGAGTTCATAAGCATTTGTAATATGTAAACCTCTCTTTGTAAAGAAATAGTGTTTATCTTACTAGAAAATCCTATATTTTCCATAAAAATCATTTGTAGTCTTACTATACCAAGACCATGATGTATAAGTATTTTCCGTACTTAAAAATAGTATTACACAATTTTAATCATGTATAAACCGTTTGAAGAAATGCTTTTACGTAAACGAAAAGAGTCATTGTTACTTTATATGAGTTTTTATAACCGTACTGATGACTGATGATGGTCTGTCACGACATTCTTCAGGCATCAGAATGTTATGATGTTTGTCATCCCAGACCTAACAGTCTAACTATAGCTAACAATTTAGGTGTGAGATTGTTAGTCCCGTATAGATCTATACACAAATATCTTGTTCTCCCTCTTTGAGACTCTGGTTATAAAATAGGACTTTAGTTTGTACTTTGTAAAATACCATGAAGATAATGACTCACAAACTTTGATCAAAGAGTTTCAAAAGAGTAAAGTTTCACAAACTGTATTTCTATAGTTTATCGTATCGATATGTTATTACCAAAACTTTGCCTGTAATAATATATGAATTTGATAGGAAAACCTTTTTATGTGATTATCACTTTTCATAAAAAGATAAACGTATTTGAATATTTGCTTTTTAAACTAAGTTTTCATGTGTGTTACTTGTATTTCCCCAAAAAATATTGACAAGATTTATAAAATATAGGGGTATGAAATCACAGGTTAAGGTGGTGATTCGGGCAACAATTCGCTTCTTAATATAATCTCTTTTGACAAAACCGCGAGTTTCTGTTGAAAATCGGGTTCTGCGCGGGCAGAGTCTCAAGCCAAAAAACTCTTTTTTCGGGGACATCGGGTGGTTCGGGGCTTTCTTCTAATGTTTAGGGAGGTTCCCTAAGATTCGGTGGGGGGGGGGGTTAGAGTAGCTTTGAGAGAGTGTAAATAATGAAAGAAAGAGTAAAGTTGCAACATAAACCGGGCAGCCTCGCATGCTCTGTATAAGAGGAGTCTGGTCTTCGGTACGCTGGGCGTTCTGTGAGGGACGCGATGTGTTCCGGTACACTGGGCTTACCCTCGTACGAGGGGTGTAGGGATTAACATGGAATGGGTTTGTGTTCCGAGTCTTATACGTGTCAAACATGCGAAGGGGTTACGTGGCTGACTCCAGACCATGTTTCCGAGCATGCGGGGTGTACTCCTTTAGACACATCTCGAAAATTGCACTCATAACTTCCAAAATTCTTAAATTTTGTATACGAGCTCCGTTTTTGACATTCTATATATCCACATGTAGGTGAGACCGTACTCTACGACTTTCGTTTAAACTACATTGGCTATTTTGACTTTATTTTTAAAGTTATATTTTTAATAGTCTGATACAGAAAAAGTCTGTTAAAAAATCATTACTTCTTCGTACGACGTCCGTTTTTTCTTTCTTTTTACCATTGAACTACTATTGATGAGATCCTCGATTCTTTTTTAGGTTGTGTTGGCTAAATTTGCTCGGCCTATAATTTGAATTCCGGGTTGTACACTGCTATGCTGAATTTTAGAAAATTCATAACTTCCTCATATGAAGTCAAATTTGGATGTTCTTTTTATACACTCTCTCGGTTTAACGTATTGTACAACTTTCATTTAGATTGTTAAGACTAAAGAGTATTTTATTGTAAACTCACTTTTCACGTCACACATTATTGTGCCTATTCTATTGCGAAACTTTGATAGGTCGTAACTTGTTCGTTTTAACTCGGATTTCGGTGTTCTTTATATCTCCGAAATCCTTGTCACGACCACTACTATTTTATTCCTAGATATCGGGTTTATCTAACATTTTATTTTAATTTATTATATCTTTATTACTTTAAAACGAGTTACAATGGTTGATCTAAACTATTACATTAGGTTACATTCTGAATTTATTGGTACATGGTTGAAGTTTAGACCTTGATTGATCTAGAAATTTTCCAGTTTTGACATCATCCCCGCATTAGAGGTTATTTCATCCCGAAATTAGTTCTGACGTGGTTACTCACGAGCTAGGGAACAGATGTGGGTAGTTTTGTTTAATTTGAACTTCTTATTCGTAAGTGAATTTAGGTCCTCGCTTGGTTCTCGAGCGGACAGTTGCTATTGTTATATGGATTTTTTTTCGTCCTCTCTATCCATGTTCTCCACATGTTCTTTTATGAAGTGTAGACTCTCGTTTATCCTCATTGTTCTTTTTTGAAATGATGAGATGACCTTAGTTGCTCACGGGTTTGAATGATCTTCTCTTATCACTTATTGTATGATCTTAGGGTTGGTGAGGTTGCTATTGGTCGTTTGACTTCTTTGCTAGTTAGGCATTCCTAACCTTGGTTCAAGCTAATGGTGATCTGAATTCTTGTCTGTATAGTCCTTCGAACGATGTATCTATGATGTCAGTGTGATAGCTATCGTTGTACGAAAACTTAACGAGTTAGGTTTCCAAAGACTTCTTCCCTGTGATGCATTCCTATCTGCTTCTCTACTTTGTCTGTTGCTTTGATCGGTAGGAAGTGTTTATTTGTCTACGATCAATTAAATGGTAGCGTGTCTATCCGCAGTCTTGGGTAGCATTGTCCTGAAGTTTGTGGTATGACTCATACTTGTTTCATCTATCATCGCTTTGTGCATACAAGTCATATATAGTTAAGATTGAAAAGACAGTCGGATAAGTAACTCTGCCCTAACCCCACAACCAAACAAGGAACTGGAGTTAAGGAAAAATTACACATCCTATGTCCGTTGAATCTCAACTATATACCACGTAACGTATGCACCTAGTAGTGATAGACTACCAACATGGGCCCTCAGTTTCTACATGAGTAATGCGATTAGTTTTGGTGAGAAGGTATTTACAACTAATCTTTCCATAGCTACTAGGTTTCAGGTCGATACTTGAACTTGACTTGTTATACGAGTGGTATTCCCGGGAGGTCTGCTGGGAACACTTTAGGGTGCTTACAGACTTCTGGAACATCCTTGATGTTTTTCGCTTCTTGTTTCTCATCTACTGTGTGGGTTAGGAAGGCATGATACCCCTTTTGTGGGTAATTCTAAGTTTTGAAGTGAGAGATGATTTGAAGATTTGTGTCAGGTTTATAGATTGAAAGGGTTTTGTTAGTTGGTTGGTTAAGGTGAAGGGTCTTTTTGTAGCACATGAAATTGGTATGGTGAGGATCAAGCGAATCCATGTTAAGGCACGACGTTGGAACTTCTTAATGTATTTAATGCTTTCAGTTTTATCCTTGTTAGTATTACTGTGAATATGATGTACTGTGATTAGTGATACTAGTAGTACGAGTGCTCAAATAAACAGTGATGAAAAATTTCGCGGTATGATCCCTACAAGGTCCCTCTATAATCACTTTCTATAAACTAGTTATATATAATTAAGATTGTAAAGACAATCAAATGGGTGACTCTGTCCTAAGCCTACAACCAAACAAGGAACATGAAGTAAGGCGGAATCACACATTCTAAGTGTGTAGGATCTTAATTATATATGACCCTAATGTTTACACTAAGCCATCATAGATCACCTGTAAGAATCCTTAGTTTTTATATGAATTATGTGATTTATTCAGGTGAAAGGTAATCTATGGCTATGATTTGTCGCATTTCGAGATCTACGGTCGATAAATTTTTAATTGGCACTAGTTTTAGTGAAAATTTGGTGCTTAATCATTGTTGTTTGGATACGTACCAAAAAAGCCCTGTAGGGTTCCTTTTCGCATCCTCAAGTCCTGTTGTTAGACTCTTCGCACCTCTCCATCATTCCTTTCTCTTGGATAATCCCTCTTGAAATGCCCCGTTTTACCGCATGCATGACATACTTGACTTACTCCAGTATTGGCGACTTAAGTGGTGTATTGGGCCGGAGTCCTATAGAAATGAGTGGTGTGCCATTTCTTGTTGCTGTTGTTGCAATGCAACACTCGACAGACTACATAGTATGGACGTTGCATTTGTTGCATTTTGGGCGATTTCCAACATATGGTCTTGTTGGGGCTAAAGTTGTAGGGACAGTGGTGGTATGGAATGCTACCGATTGTTGTCTCTTGGTAGATGCTTGAGTCAAACTGCTTCTTTTCTTGTTCCATAACTTTTGTTTCTTGTTCTTAGGTTTGTGGTTTGGGG